ACATTCTGTATGTGCCTGTCTTAAGCCAGAAGCCTGTAATTCAGTAGTTGTCGTTTGAAGCTGTGTAACATATTTGTTTTTCATCCATTATTTTGTACATAAATTAGGCTGTAAGTTTTCTCGATTGAATTGTTTTACATTTGTCATTTCGGGGCCTTTTATAGCTGACTATGCGGTATGGGTATTGCTCAGTGTTGAAGGCAGTACGGTGAAGTGTTAAAGTGAGCATACAGCATGGTATGAAGGAATTATTTCGATTCTAATAGGACAAATACGGCATTATTATAGATCGAAGCGTACTGTTGGCTATTCCCATTTTCTCCTCATGAATTATGTATATTTCATTTTCTTATTTAATAAGTTTAAAACTAGTAGCCGGGTATATATATATATATGATGTTGTAATAAAATATCTAATAAAATTTTATGTAAGCAGCTAAACTATATATATTTTATTAAGATAAAAATGGATGTCAAACATTAAACTGGTACATATTTTCTATTCATTTGTATTATTTAAGATGACCATTATATGTTAGGACATGTAAGTATTCGGTACACAGGATAAATCTGAAACTTCTTCACACAGTATGGAATGTTCATATATAGATATAAGAAGATGTGGTATGAGTGCCAATGCAACAACTCTCAATCCAAGTAAGGATTGACATGTTTTTCTCCAGTTCAATGTATAAAAAGTAAACAATTATAGGTCAAAGTATGGCCTTTAACACGGAGCCTTGGCTCACACCGAACAGCAAGCTATAAAGGGCCCCAAAACTGACTAGTGTAAAAACCATTCAAACAGGAATCTATATAAAAAAACGAGAAACGAGAAACACTTATGAACCACATCAACAAACGACAACCACTGAACAGGTTCCTGACTTCGGACAGATGCAAACAAATGCAGCGGGTTTAAACGTTTTAACAGGCGCCAACCTTCACCCTAACCTGAAGTAGTAGTGTAACATTACATTATAGAAAGACACACTATAAAATATCAATTAAAATGGCTTAACTCAATCAAAAAGACATATTTACAAAAACAAGTAAACATACACTGAACGAATAAATTTTATCTATGACACAATATAAATACAATATTAATAAAACAAAAGGGGGGAGATGTAAAACAATATCAGAAAGACAACTATAACCTTTTTGACAAAATGGCGTTAAATAAAATAACGTGCACAGGTAAATATAATAATTTTGTTGTAAGGAGTACATGAAGTACGAAAATATTTTTTTACAAAATAAATATAAATAAATAAATAACCGGCGTAAATAAGAGACCGTAAACGGAGGAAACAGATATCCGCAAAATAATTGTAATAATGCAAGTGTATATAACTCTAACAAAGAATGCAACACAATTTCGTCAAGTCAATCCCTTGGTTCATTTGAGGAATAACACATAAGAATAAACCTATATATAATAGTTCTACTATATATGACAGTTGCTAATAACTAGATAGTGCAATACAAAATTTGTTAATGTTAAAAAGAAATTAAAAAAAAGAATGTTCATATGAAGACTGATAAGAAATTCAAGAAGATCTGACTTGTAGTTCTTGAGAAAATTGAGACGGAATTTCATGGGACGGACGGACGGACGGACAGACAGAGGTAGAACAGTATACCCTCTATATAGTAGCTGGGATTTAATAACTCAACAGAAGTTTACTTTCTGCACCTAGCCCCAAGCGTCATGAGAGGTATTGTCATCACCTAGAACTATAAGACATATATACATGTACCAAGTTTCTTGAAAAAAAACCAACTTCGAACATTTAAACGAAATCTTTTACTTATGGTACTGGGATGATCCTTTACTGATTTACAGTTTTTGTAGACAAAGATAGATAAGAATTGACCACCTCAAAGGAAAAATGAATAACACCTTACGAAAAGTACATACACACAGGTTCTCAGAAACTATCTCGTACATTAAAGGCATATCATGCAAATTACACCTTATGTATTCCTCTACCAATTTTTATTTTTTTCTGCTATCCGAAAATAAATTTGTGGAACACATTTTAACAGAATAATTAGGTAACAAATAGTGCCTCCTTCAAGACAGTCTCGAATGCCTCGAATGATACCTCAGGAATATTTGTTTCTTTGAATATAACAATACACATAACAAACCACGGTTCATTTGACGAATAACACCGTACGGTGACCTAAAGTTGTTAATTTCTGTCATTTGGTCTCTTGTGGAGTGTTGTCTCATTGGCAATCATACCACATCTTCTTATTTCTATGTTAACATACATCTACCTAACAAAGTAATGGTACAATCGCTTGACTATGCCTTCAATGCAAGAACCTAACTTAAAATTGTATACAACATGATAACGACTCACAACATTAAAATGCTTTTTCCTGGATATTTTCTATTTAATCATTAAACAAATGTAGTACTGAAATTTTACATGTTTTAGCAAATGTTACACTCGAGCTGTGTCATATTATGTATTTCTGTTGTGTCATATTGCGTACTTCTGTTTAATTACGTGATGAAAAGTGAACAAATAATCAATTAAACGTCTTAAATGAGTGTTATTTGTTTTCAATCAAAAGAATTCGAGAGGAAATATTATTCTGAATAATTCTCTCATTTTCAACGCTTAGAATTAAATATATTCGATTCTTATCATAATCGTAGCAATAATGTTTTTGGACGATGTCAAGAACTCAACCAAGATCGGAACAAACGAGAGAGATATATAAAAGAATACTACGCTTCTGCCCCATTAAACTATACAATTTATGATTTTCTACAGTCCTATCCAAATAATGTACTGTGAGTTATGCACTTTTTTTATAACATCTTTTTTTGTTACGCTAAACATTGTTGATACTTACAGTTAAACATTACGGTAGTTAAAATGCTTATGTATCACTTTAAACTTGGCATGCTTTGTGTTGGCAGCATCCTGTTTTGTTTTGTTTAGGGAAAATAGTACTATAACATTTTCCCAGCATTAGGTTGGCCTTTTGTGTACCCAAGGCAGGTGAAGGAAGTCAACTTAGGAGCGCTGTGATTGGATGTAAGGGTAAAATATATTATTTTATTGATCTATGAATAACTGCAGTGTGTATATTTACAATATAAATTTTGAAACCCATTGAAATATTTTCTAGAGAATTATTCGAAAAGACTTCCAAAATTTCATAAATTTGGTGTAAAATGACGGTGGGCATGGATAACATAAACAAGCTCCGTTGGAAGTTGGTCATGATACTATTTGGCTTCAATTTTCAAAACAGAATAATAAAGTACTAACACCACACATAACTGTTTTGTCCAGGTTTTTATTATAAAAAGTGGTAAATTTAGAAAATGTTAGTATTGTCGCCTATGGCAGAATAAATAGTACCGTTTTCCCTTTAGAGTCAGTCTACAATTGGCATATGGAGTTAATAACTGTTTAAAAGTGTGAAATAAAAGAATCAAATCGGTATTTTGCAGATAGACTTTTGTTACCTTAAGTCTAAAGGATAAACATAAATTTCACATATGTAATTCTTTTTGCACGCACTTAAACTTTACAATATCAATACAATTTTTTTCTGTTTATATCATTTAAATGCATTTTAAGTGCTTGCACGGAAAAAACGTGAAATAAGACATAATTTCACGTTGAACGTGAAATAATTTCTGTCATGAATGTTGTACGAAAAATAAAGACTGTTGTGAACCTTTTGTGACTGAGTCACTGTCTTCTTGTATATATTAACTCTCTGTTTTACTTGTTATTCCCGATTTAGTATACACATTTATGATGTAAATGGTTTACGGCTTTTAAAAAAGTATTTCTTGACAATCCCTGCCAAGTATTTGAATTTTATTTGAAAAATACCGAGCACGCAAAATAAGCATTTGAAAATCACGATGCACGTAAAATTAAATAAGCAGAACACGTTGAACGAGGCACCTGTCTTGCACGACTGAACGTTATATAAAAAAGTAAAAACACGTTGAACGTGAAATAAAAAACGGCGATCACGTTGCACGAAGATAACCCTTTACCACCCTCTGCAATTGTTTATCACAATAAAACCAAATAACATATTTATTTAAGTGCTAAGGAAGTATTTGACGTCATCAAAATACTGCAATCGCGCTTCTCGCTGTTTAAACAGACAATCAGAGCAACTCGCACAGTTGCCCATTATTCCACCATGTGCAGAAAGAATACTTTTTAGCTGTTCTACGTTAAAACAATTTGATTGTAGAAGAAATATAAATCTCAAAAATGTAAAAAATGTTAAAAAAAAACAATACACACGAGATTTAATTTTAAAAGAATTAAGGTAGCAAGGCTATTCCTAAAAAGCTCAATCGATAAATCATAAATAGATAATAACATAGTAAGAAAATTGATTAATTAAAAGTTGAATTTCAAATGCTTATCTTAGTACACAAACGTTGAAAATTTGTTTTCTTGGTTGCTTCAGCTGCATCGTTCATTGACGAAGGAAGTAAAAACTTATACTAGACATTGAAAATGATGTTTGCGCTGTCCAAAGTAAGAAACCATATCAAACTATGCAATTTTCTTGTAAGAAATCGGCATGTTGCAGTTAAATTAACTTACAGACTATTTTTGAATTTTGATTTTAAAATCTAACAATTCGCAATAATACTAGTTAAAATTGGACTTCCTAAATAGTTGAAATATTAGTATTATAAAGAAAAAATACTGTGTAGGTGTGTAGTTAAAATTGGACTTCCTAAATAGTTGAAATATTAGTATTATAAAGAAAAAAATACTGTGTAGGTGTCACACTTACGATTCAACTAATCAGCATCCAGAACGTTTGGTAAATGTAGGCATCCTCTGACAAAACATAGCACTATTGATACTGCTGTTTACTACAGCTACACGTAACCAAATGAATTTGAATAATTGCAAGTGTGAGATAACATACATGTATTTGGACCATTTTTTCAAATTTACTTGGCCATGAATTATGAAGAGACAGATATCCATCCAGAGTTTTTTTGGGAGTTCCTCGAAACGACAGAAAAGTGATGAAACTCGAACCACAAGAAATGAAGACTTTACAAATGCAGAATCAGCCGTAAATGATAGGTAAATGAATATTTTCACTTTCTCTTGTAATCATTTCGTTTTCATTTTTTACCCTTTAAGAGAACGAAAGAACGTACAAAATAATTGGTTAAATCGAAATTCACCGTATCATTGAGGGTCTGGATGGGGTTAACAGAATAGAGATATAGAAAAATGAAAAAAAAAAATATATGAAAAATGTGTGAAAAAAAATAATTGTACAGAATAATAAGGTGCAAAAGTATAAAGAATAACTGTGGAAGATAACATAATTAGGTCATACAATACTGATTAAAAAAATGAAGGATACACGGAATAAAAAAAATATAATTGCAGAAGAAAAATTGATAGTTAATTTATTTTATATAAATTACTTGTCAAGATCATATAATAAACTGTAATAATATATTTATTCATGTGTCGAAAATATTTTCAAATTTTCTTTCAGTCAAAAAGCTGTTGAACAATCAGAGTCCCACACCAGGTCCCAGGGTCAAACTCCAAATGATATAACTTCTTGGTTTGGTAGAACTTTAAATGATGATGAGAAATACACAATCTACACAAAAGGTGTGTCAATTCCTGATACTTTCAAGTTCCCTTCTACAAAAATAGCTGATAAAAACAGATGCTTTCGGAGAGAATGGATCTCCAAGTATCCAGGCTTAGTTTATAGCATAGAGGAGGATGGAGCATACTGTCTTCATTGTGTTTTATTTGAGAAGGAACCTGAAAAAAGAGGCAAACTTGTCAATGCCCCTTTCAAAAACTGGAAAAAGGCATTGGAAGTATTTGATGAACATTTTTGGGGGAAAAGTACCAAAAGTTTAAAACGAGGTGGTACAGGTTATCAGAGACACATGCAGTGTGTAACAAAAGGTGAAATGTTTGTTCAGCAGGTCAATCAACAGACTAATGTACACATGACCATGAATCATGGTTTAGAGAGCCGCAAGGAGAAAAATTTGATGGTTTTGGAATCAATTGTAAAGACCGTCCTTATTTGTGGAAGACAGAACTTTGCTCTTCGAGGCCACAGAGATGATGCAAAGCACATTGTAAATGGAAATACTGCAAATATTGGAAATTTTTAAGCACTTTTGGACTTCAGAATAGATGCTGGTGATAAATTTCTTGTAGAACATTTCAAAACAGCCCCCAAAAATGCTACATACAGGTCAAAGACTGTTCAAAATGAAATTATTGACATTATAGGAAATATCATTAGGTCAAAAATAATCAAAGACATAACAGACAGTGGAGGGATGTTTTCTGTATCTGCAGATGAAGCTAGAGATGTATCCAACACTGAACAGTTAGCCGTGTGTCTACGTTTTGTTGATTTGGCAGGTAATAACTAATATATCAACTAATAAACTGGGCAACTTATTAGAAATTTAAAAAATATATATTGATTAATCATTTATAATCTATTGTTTCAAACTTAACAAAAAAAAGGCATATGTACAGCTGTACATGCATGTATTATCTGCAACTATATTTAAGCAGTTAATCCAACTGCTATTAAAGTATCTGTTTTAACATGTAAACTATATGCATGTGCATGTATAAGATATATAATAACAGTGAAAAAAAATAATTAAATAATTTTGAATTAAATTTCTATTTTAAAAGGTGTCATTAGAGAAGAGTTTGTTGACTTCATAGAAGTGAGCGATGATACAAGTGGAGAGAGACTATCCAATGAGCTACTGAAGCTGCTTCCAGAAATGGGACTAGATTTAAATCTGATGAGGAGCCAATGTTATGACGGCGCAGGTAAACCTCGTTTAATATACCCCAGTGTGTAAACAGTCGAATTTGTTTAATGATGAATATACTGTAAGAATAGTTTTGTTACAATTTTGACATGCTCTCTAATTCTTTGCACCTGTCATTGTATGTTTTAAATGATGTGTGCACATTCACATATATATACTTTTTCTCCAGGTAATATGACTGGACATTTGAAAGGAGTTGGTCCCAGAATTCAAAGGATATACCCAAAGGCATTACACTTTTGGTGTACAGCTCACCAGCTAAACAGATGTATAGTTGCTGCTGCTAACATTCCATGTGTCAGGAATATGATGGGAACTGCAGATAAGGTATACAATTAATGCATTTCTATTCATTTCTCATATGATAATACTATAAAAAAAATTGCCATAAACCAGTTATTAAATGTGTATCATATGTATTGCTTGATTATTTTGATCAACCTATAAGTCTTTATCTTTGACAGGTAGTCAAGTTCTTTAATTGGTCTCCTAAAAGGCAATCATTCCTAGAGGATCAGCTTCAAAATTACAGAAATGAAACAAAAAGAATGAAATTGAAGGAGTTATGTAGAACAAGATGGGTAGAAAGACATGATGCCTTTGAGATGTTTTGGGATTTCCTTCCAGCAATAATAGAAACCATGGAAAAGATCAAATCAGTGGACAAAAGCCCGGTTGCAATAAGTGACACACAAAGCCTAGAAAACAACATTACATCCTTTCAATTTCTAGTCTCCCTGCTTGTGACAATGAGATGTATTGGATACCTAAAACAACTTAGTACATCACTTCAAGGTACTGTCAGTAACTGTCTAAGGGATACAACTCTTATTTAATTTGATATTGTAAAGGAGCAAAAAAACAGAAACAATTTTTTTTCTTCAATTTATTTACATTACAAAAAGAACATGTTACCATCAACAACATATTGTTATTAGATTTCAAAATCATATACACAAAATTAAACCTGCTGATTGATTTGGTCAATAACCACAGGAAAAAAGGGAGATAACTCAAATACTGTATTCACAGATCTGATTTAATTAGTCACAACTTAGAGAATTAAACAAATATATTTTTTTCTTTAGGTAGAGCTGTTGATGTTGTGAGTGCTCTTGAGTCAGTTAGCCTTGTCAAGGAAGCTTTACAGGATGTTAGAGACAATATTGGTGAATTTCATGCTAAGTGGTATTCAGAAATATTGAAGTTGGCAGATGAGTTAGATGTAACCCCATCTAAACCAAGAACATGTGGGAGGCAGACAAAGAGATCAAATGTGCCATGTGAATCAACAGAGGATTATTACAAGAAAACAATTGCTATCCCTCTGCTTGATCACATGTTAACAGAAATGAACTCAAGGTTTGGTGACCTGCAAATCAAGGCATCCATGGGACTTCAGGTAATACCTGCCATGCTTTCTCAATCCTCAACTAATGATTTTGAGTACTTTGTGGATGATTTACCATCTCCATCAACACTGGAGCAAGAAATGCATATGTGGAAGTTGAAATGGGCAAATGAGTCTGATCCACCTTCAGATATAAACACAGCATTACAAAACTGTAACTCTATTATATTTCCAAATGTGCACCAAATTTTGAAAATTTGTGGAATATTTCCAGTAACATCCTGTGAGTGTGAGAGAATTATCAGTAGACTGAGACTTGTGAAGACATACTTACGATCAACAATGTCAACAAGCAGGTTATCTTCCTTAATCATGATGTATGCCCATAGGAACATTACTGTAAATCCAAAGGAGGTGGTGATGCAGTATGCAAGGAGAAATCCTAGGAGAATAGTGCTACCAGACATTCTTGTAGATTAACTTTATTAGACATACTCTATTGTACACATGCTTATATGCCTCTTATTTCAATTAACATATATACATATCTATACAACTCTTTAAATTTTTTTCATGGTGCCCCCCCAGTCATAGAGGTTCTGGATCCGCCCCTGGTTCCAACTTAATAGTTTTATAGTTTATCTGTGTTTTATATATATTCGGGTATTTTTCATTTAGTAGTTCCGTTTATATTTCTATAGATAAATGATAAATAAATCAAACATTTTTTCTCAATAATTTAATATCTATTCAATCGATTCATTTGAAATAAACCAATAACAAATCAATGGCATTTATTCATAAAAGTGTCTTGATAATTTACCAGTTTCTGCATGATCATGATGTAAATATTGATGATAAAATTTTCTTTTATTGCAAACATGATTTATATTATTTATGAATCAAATTAAACTATATGTGACCAGCCATGAGATTTTGGGTCCAAATGAGATCCATGGTGCAAAATGAGAATGTTTTATGCAATAAGTAACTATTTGTAAGAGAAACATTACTGCAAAGCTTCAGAGTGGCTGTAGTTTTATTATAAGAAATGGTCTTTTGTAATGTTCTATTTCAATAGTGAAAAATGAAAATTGTCCCATTGTTTCTGGTATTCGATGAAAATTAAAAAAAAACCAGAATATAACAACTGTGTTTGTTTTTCCTTCTCTTCAATTGAAATGAATCACTGTCCTGTATTCCAAGTCAGTTTATGTATGTTAATAATCTATATATAAGTATCTTTTATAAGATTGTACAGGTAAAATAAAGGTAAAAATATGACTATAATTCAGAAATAAACTATAATTGTTAAAACAACAAAACACTCTATGTCAACGAAGCTGTCCTAGGACTAGGACGTGTCTTAGGATGGTCTTACGATACGTCTTAGTCCTAAGTCAGGTCAACGAAGGTCTCCTAAATAAGATATGTCCTAAATTTGTATGAAATGCATTTATATTTTTTTTTATTTATAGTCTATAATGACGTATCTATTAGTATTACGTTAACAAATTTTTTTTTTGCGTTATTTTTCTTCTTCATAAAAGATGCAACCTCCCTCCCTTTACATATTTACTGAAATTCAATAAAATATATGTCATTTAATTCTCTACATATTTCTATCAACTAAATAAATGTGTTAGGATGGTCCTAGGACAACTGTAGTTAGAACTGACCTAAGATAGCTTTGTTTTACATCATAAGACATGTCTCAGACACGACCTAAAACAATCCTAAATAAGGTCCCAAGACATATCTTAGGACATATTCTGGGATACTTTCATTGACACGGCCCCTGCAATTAAATGTGGGCAAACCAGGGGCCTGTTTATCGAAGCTGTCATAGGATTTGTCCTATTAAGACCTCTCTAAGGAATAAATCAGGATAATGTTAGGTCATGTCTTAGCATGCACACCGAAGCTATCTTAGGAATATCTTAGTTAGGATGTCCTTACCGCTGTCTTAAGTGTTAACGTAAAGAAAATAGAAATATTAAAATCTTAAAATTGAGAATGGAAATGGGGAATGTGTCAAAGAGACAACAACCCGACCATAGAACAGACAACAGCAGAAGGTCACCAACAGGTCTTCAATGCAGCGAGAAATTCCCGCACCCGGAGGCGTCCTTCAGCTGGCCCCTAAACAAATATATATACTAGTTCAGTGATAATGAACGCCATACTAAACTCCAAATTGTACACAAGAAACTAAAATTAAAAATAATACAAGACTGACAAAGGCTAGAGGCTCCTGACTTGGACAGGCGCAAAAATGCGGCGGGGTTAAACATGTTTATGAGATCTCAAATGTTTAAGAATGCAATGAATTTCACCAGTAGTAAATAATTACAAGACTTAGAATTAGAAATATTATTAGTATTATCATTGAGAAAATAAATAATATTTATCTAAATAATGTACATTCAAACTTTATGATATGAAAACGAAAAAAATGTAACAATGTTTTACATATTAATTGAAAAAATTGTTTTGTAAACAGCAGTAACAGTGAAAACTAATTAAAGACAAACGGAAACAATCATTAAATATGTTTGAGTGAGTTTAATTCGAAGTGTTACGGTTTTATACTTTACAGGGTTCAAAGGCAAATCTCGTGCATCTTTAAAAAAAAAATAAGGAATACATAAATTATATCATCACGGATCACATGCGCTTGGGTAATGGGCCCCTTTTTTATAAACTTGGTTGCTAAGTAGATATTCTTTAATATTTTAACCTATGCACATTTATTTTATGCGTTTATATATATACGATACCCCTATATTCTTATTTTCCATGTGGAAAATATGAATAGAGGGGTGTCATATATATACTACTGTTTTTGTAATATCTTTTGTATAAGAGCAAGAACACATTAAATAAGTGAAAACAGAAAAAAATTTAGAAAAAGGGGGATCCATATATAGGTGGAAATCGTATTTATTTACAAATTAACCATAAAAAAATATATCCTAAAGTTATGACCATCCTAAGACCATCCAAAAAGACCATCTTAAGACACATATTTAGGTGTCCTAAAGTTAGGACGATTCGTACGACTTTTCCTTAGTTAAGACATGTTTGATAAACGGACTTAGGACTAAGATACGTCCTAAGATGACACCAGGTAGCGTGTCAACGAAGCTGTCCTAGATCTAGGACGTGTCTTAGGATGGTCTTAGGACACGTCTTAGTCCTAAGTCAGGTTAACGAAAGTCTCATAAGTAAAGATATGTCCTAAATTTGGTCTTAAAGTTAGGACAAATACATAAGTGACTTAGGATGGTCTTAGGATAGTCTTAAGTCCTAAAAGTTACAATGTCCTAATTCGAAATAAAATCAACAAATATGGCCTTCAGTCAGCATTTGAAAAAAATTATCTTTGTATATATACTATCAAATGTCTTTTTAAAATTATGCATCCTTCGCAGCTATCCAAAAAGTATGTTTGACGATGACATATTATTACGCTTATTTAAAATAATTCACCTTTTGCCCGTTTTTGAAGCTTAAAAATTCTATCAATATCAGCAAAATTGTTTGCACCTGACTAAATGGTATAACTTTAATTGCAATTTGGAAACATTTGAATTTAGTTTCAGAAAAAAAATGGACTTCTTTTCTTACTAAAGGCTGATTCAACACATGTAATGAAATCGAGTGGACCTAAGGACAAAACTAGTTCATATAGCTTAAATTGCAGCACGATAATAGCCTCTAACAAAGTTTTGTGACAATTTAGTTTAATTGTTATATGAAATTTATTTATCATTTTTAATAGTATTTAATCATGTATCTATTAGTATTGCGTTAAAACTTAATTTTGCGTAATTTGTTTTTCATAACAGATGCTACCTCCCGCCCTTCACATACATATTGAAATACAATAAAATAAATTTCATTTTATTTTATTCTCTACATAATTTTGTTTAATTAAAAAAATGTGTTAGGATGGTCCTAGGACCATCGTAGTAAGAATTGTCCTAGGATAGCTTTGTTTTACATCCTAAGACATGTCTCAGACACGTCCTAAGACCATTCTTAATAATGTCCTAAGTCATATCTTAGGACATATCCTAGGATACCTTCATTGAATTGGCCCCAGATAATAATACATTTATAATTAGGATATAAATATATATATATGATTACAAAGAGATTATCAGATATTCAGACAGTTGTGAGAAATTAAAATTGTGGTTGAATTTATCATGTTTTTTTTTTCTAATTTTAGAATAAAAAGACAACGCTTAAAACTTTATCCAAAAAATAAGTACAATAATTTTATTTTGTATTCCAATGCTTTGCATGCTATAATTTGTTCGTTTTGTTTTCTAATGGTGCGAAGATTTCATAACTGCAATTAGTTTCTGATATTATTTTACATAAACAAAAAACATACAGAAAAGTATATATAAATGTGATATAAAAGCGTTAAAATGAGATAACGTCAGTCAGGTCTGGAATGGTGAATTTAAATTGCTATCTTTTTAACTCTATTTGAATTTGTGTATCATGAATTTTATCCTTCAATGTACATTCTCCATATGTGCACTTTAAAACTTTGAACTTTGAACTTCACATAAACACATACACATCGATATCTGAGTTTTGTTTTGATTTCATTTATTCACTTAGCTTTGAACAAGCTGGTTATCTTTTCCTTGGTTGACAGGAGGAAGAAGATGACAAGGAGGCAGTTTCATACCATAGCCGAAGAAACACAGAAAACACCAGTACCAAAGCAAAAAAAAGTCGGACAGATAAACAACAGTCCTCAAAACACTACATAGAAAGGTCGAACACTTATTTGTCTACTTAAAACTGGTGGTGATCGCAGTTACTCAAGGGAAGGGTGTTCAATCTTTCACAATATCAATTTTTCGTCATATTTGATAATATGATAACAAAAAACAAAATCAGTCATCAGTCCAATTAAGTGTTGTGTGAATAAAAGGAGATGTGAGGTATACGTCAATGAGACAGCAACCTAACTACAGAAATGACATTTACAGGGAGACGAGTAGTCTTCAACAATAAACAGGTGTCCTATCAATATGTCTGATAAGTGCTATCAGATTTGTATATTATTTTTTTTCACCCAACAGTATACACGGATAGTTAAGTGTGTAATAGAAGGAGAATCAGATGTGGATTATACGTCAATGGAACAGCAGCCCAACGACAGAAATTACAAATTTAAACATCTTGTTGCATACATATATTTTTGACAAATAGACTGGTGACCAAACGATATGTCTCGCTCTTAATTGGTCACACAAAGAACATACAAGAAAGTAGTACATATTGTAAACAAAATAGTTCCTACGCATAGCTGTAAATTTATGATTGAATTGTTGTTTGAATTTTTTTGGGACTTTTTAATTTTAAATTTTGCAGATCACAACTTATAAAAAAAACCAAGTCGTAAGTCGAACCAGATATTTTTTAACATGATATAACGGAACTGTGGAGAAACAATCTGCTTAGTTGATTAAGAAGAGAGGACTTCAATTCAATTAATCGTATATAATACGTATATAACGATACCTTATTGTTTCTTCTATTTGGGCGGGGAGTGTTGTATTCCTGTATTTGGTATTTCTGGTTACCGAAAATGTAGAACATAGTTTAGCCTGTTTTATGTCTTTTTACGGGACTGAATACCTGTCTTATGTTTGTCGGCGGCGAACAGTGTCGTCTGCCATACATGTGGTTTTTCAATTGCAGTAGAATATGAAAATTGAAATATAGAAAGGCGTGACTAAGTCGAAAATAAACTGACAACGAATTGGCAAAAAACAGAAAAAGACAAAAAGACAAACAACAGTATACAAATCACAAGACAGAAAACAATTTCTTAGAGTATTTTGAATTGTACTTCATGTACTAAATATTTATTTTTCTAAATTTTGAATTGTACTTCATGTACTAAATATGTTTTTTTTCTAAATTTTAAATTATGCAGGTCATTCGGAACAATTTGCTTCGTCCAATTATACTTATATATATTTATCCATTGAGAGGCTACCCCTTTACATCGGAAGCAAACACCAACGGTGTAATAGTGTTTGCGTCATACAAGTTACTGGTATAGAATATATAATTATATAAATATATAATAAGAGTGTAATTAATAAAAAACATCGTTATAAAATAGAAGTGTCAAAATGATAAAAGTATATCTTTTAAAATCCAACATTTGACCATAAACTTGTCAAAAAATGAATAAAAGAAATAGTAAAAAGTGCATTGCGATATCTTGAATATCATTATAGGTT